TTTTTTTTTTAATCTTGGTTCCAAATTTATTAGGGATTCAAGTTCTTTTTGTCTTATATTTTTTATCAGTAGTTATTTTATTAAAAATATTTTATTTCATTATTTTTTGTGTGTACCATCAAATCAGATCTGACTGATACAGGAGGAGATTGTTCCTCTTTCTCCAGCAGAGCATCTGGTGGATTTGAACCATGTACCTCTGAGACTGCAGTGCAGCTTCTTGCCACTAGGCCACCAGAGCTCGCCTTTATCAGTAGTTCTTTCAAAGTGAGGAGCATGAAGACAAATTTGACTTACGTCATTTTGATTTTCTGCATTTTTTTTTTTAAAATTTTACCATAGAACACGTGCTGATTATGAACATTAAAAAGGGCAATAAAATGTATTAGAAAATTTGTGCCTGGGAAATGGTTTTAAAAGCAAACAAATGCTTTTCAAATTTCTTGGTCATTAGCTCATTTCATGATGATGTAAATATTTTAAGTAATTAACATGTAATTAACTCAGAGGCCAAAAATCCATTTCGGCCACGGCAACCCTCCACTCGGTCTCAGAGGCTGTAAATCTTCACTGGAACAGACTGTATCATCTTTCTCCTATGAAGTGTCTCATGGGTTCGAACCAGTGACCTCTCAGTTAGCAGTCCAACACGTAATGCACTATGTCACTAGAGTTTGCGATTCAGCAAAGTCCTAAAAAAGATAAGAACTTTTCAACACATTTACCTATGTAGAAATTGAGGGTTTAAAAGGTCAAAAGAGCAGCGTTTGTCCAAGGATGAAGCCCTGAAGGCAGGAGTGGTGGGATAGAAGGATTAGTGGATATTAGAATCATAGGGACTAAGTGGGAAGAGTTGGGAGCATCATCATTAATGTTGGGAAACAAGATGTGCGTGAGTGACTGAATGGAAAGCAGCTTTGCTTTGTAAACTTGCACTCAAATCACAATAAAAATAATGTAGAAGATAACTGTAGAGCTGTCAGAGGTGAACTGCACATGTCTCAGGCACACGTATTTATAGGTGGTGGCTCAGGTACGGAAACTTGGTTAAGCTGGGCCAGTGCTTTCTCGAACCTCCCTTTCTGAGGCAGAGCTGGCCAACTTGGAGTTGTGGTGACAGACAGGCTGAAGAATCCTGGGAAGTTCTAGCTTGTCCTCACTCTTCACTCCTGATCCGATGACCAGAAGGCCCTAACTCACCAGCAGACATCTGACTGCAGGATCTGAGGCTTCTCCATCAGTCCCTTGTGTGGCCTCATTCCCATGACCAGCTGGATTTACCATATCACATTGACTTATTGCTGACTTCTCTGACCCCCCCCCGATTCCCTTTTTATACCTTCTTCCCCAGTTCCTCCCACATGCAGTTGCTGTCTCTTGTGGCTGCCACCTTGTGAAGAAGCCCAGGCTGGTCAAATGGAGGGACCCCATATAGCAGAACTGAGGCACATCAGAACAACAACCCTAGCTGACATTCGTCCCTGGCTCACCCCAAATTCTAGCTGCCACATGAGTGATCCTTGATGCAAAGGAGACAGACCTGGGGAAGAATCCTCCCTCCCCTCAGCCATAACTGTAAAAAATAAAAACTCACTGCTGTTTTAGGCCATCAAATTATAGAGCCATTTGTCCTCTAGTAGCAATAGAGAATTGAAACATTATGTATTTCTTTTGAAGCTTTTTGTAGGCTTGTCTGCTTCAAAACAAGGCAATTAGTAAAAGCCAATGCAAAAAAAAGCCATTTTAAAGCAAAACCTTCAAACATTTTAAAACTTCAAACATATTCTAATAACATGTTGTCCTTAGGTGCTGTTGAGTTAGGTACAACTCGTAGTGATCACTGTGTCTATCTGTGTAGTGGAGGGTCTTTCTCTCCTGTACTGTCCCCCCCCCCTTTCCAAGCATGATGTCCTTCTCTGAGAAATAGCCTCTTCTAACAACATGCCCCAGGTATGTGAGACAAAGCTTCACCGTCTGGCTGTACCTTCTCCAAGACATCTGTTTATTCTATTGGCAGTCCATGGGATAGTCAGTACTCTTCCCCAACACTACAGTTTAAAGCCATCAATTCTTCTGCCATTCTTACCCATTGTCCAGCTCTCAGCAGCATAGCAAATGGTTGAAAAGACCATGGCCTGAATCAGGGGCACCTTAGCCCTCAGACTGACATCATTGCTCCTCAATAATTGGGAGAGGTCCCTGACTAAAGACGTCCCCAGTGCAATACGTCTCCTGATCGCCTCACTGCTGTAGTCAAGTGTATTGACTGTGGAGCCAAATAAGATGAAGTGGTTGACAGTTTCATTCTTTTCTCCATCTATTATGATGTTGCTTATTGGTTCAGTAAGGAGAATTTTTGTTGTCTTGACTTTGATATGTAATCCATAGTGAAAGCTGTAGTGTTAAATTTTCTGCAGCAAGTGCTTCCAGTCCTCCTCACTTTCAGCAAACAAGCTTGTGCCCATCTGCATATTGAAGGTTCTGCATTAGTCATCTTCTGATCCTGATGCCATATTGGTCTTCACCAAGTTCAGTTTCTCAAATAATTTGCTCAGCATACAGATTGACTAGGTATGGAGCAAGGATCTAACCCAGATGCACACCTTTTTTAATTTTAAACCACGAAACTGAAGAACACCTGAAGCATTTGCTGCAGAAAGCCAAGGACTGTACTCTTCAATATGGATTGAGGCCAAGAAAAGAAAAGATTCTCACCAGAAGGCCAGTTGGCGGCACCGTGATAGGTGAAGAAGAGATTGAGATTGTTAACAGTTATAGCTTTCTCAGCTCCACAATCAGCACTCTTGCTTATCTTATCAAAAGATAAATTGCATTTGGGGAAAA